ATTGACTGATCAACAGAGTCAGTAACAGGAGGTGTTGATGTTTAGAAAGCCAAGATCAGCTGGAAATCATGAACAGCACACAAATGTCACATTTACCATTTTATTGGACACAAACTTAAGTAGATCATTGTCAAAAACATGCCAGTTCAAAACAGAAACAGGTTGAGTCAGGAAAAGGCTCAGATGCATAACAGTTCGGCGGTTGCTCCTCTCAAAATACTCCATGCAAAGTCACTCACTGCTTTTCCTCATGACCTCCAGCAGCTCAAACCAAGAGATCCCTACAAACAGACAGCAGTGAGACGATCAGAAACACTTCAAATTTCACTAATAACTTCCCCTAGGAAGCTACAAATCTCAGAAAGAAACAAAGTGATTGTTTATAGAATAAATATAGATCATAGGAGGTGAAAACGCATGCTCATTTTATGAGCAATTAAACCAATGCAACAGCATCTGTAAGATATCAATCAAGCTACAAAATAGAATTAAATGTCACTTTGATGTTAATCCAAAACAACAAGTTAACATACAGACTCCTTCTACGAGCTATACAAGTATTTTACAAGTATTTTACAAGTATTTTACAAACCTGTTCCAAGAGCCACACCAACATTGCACACCCCTCGACGTCTTTCTTATCTGACCCATATATGTCTGGTTTTGGAGTCTCTACTAACGAGCTGATGAGTCGATTCAGGTGTGATTGATTAGGAAGAGTTGGAAAATGTGTTGTGTTGGGGTTCCTCCAGCTATTTTACCTGCAAACCACTGCACCATCGTGGCTTTCACAATATCATCTGTTGTTTGGTGCAGTTTGTTGGATATGCATTTTAACATAGGCAATCTAAGATTCAAACGCAACCATTTATTTATTGAACTCTTTTGAGTTTATTGAGGGCTTTGTTTTCTGTGATAAAAATATTAGCAACTGTGGGATTTGGACCAAGAACTGAATGAAAGACAAATGATTAGCCACTGAGCCACGGCATTTGTGATGTTTGATATGGTTCATTGTGGTTGTTTTTTAGTTTAGCAACAGCATTCATTAAAACAACAATTTATTGTTCAGCTGCTAGAGCGTTTTTTTACAGGGTTGGAGATAAACTCAGGAAAGTGGCTCATCAGGAGCAGGATTAGGGACTTTTTTTTAAATCTCTTTCCTCTTCATGCTGTTTTCATATATTAATGCAGATACACTTAGTGTCCACAAGGTGGGGTACATGAACACATTAATCTGGTCTCTGGTTTCATGCACACATGCCTGCTCTCCATCCAGGATTCTCCAAACACTTGTCCTATGTAGAGAAGCTGGAGTCTGTCTGAAGGCAGAGAAACACAGGACACTGTGTCTGTTATATTAGGCAGTAAAAAGCGGCCATTAGACACATTTATAGTCAGCTGTTTTACCACAATAATAATATTTTATCCCAAATATTAAACAATCTTTACTATAAATGTAAAATCAGTATAATTTTTGTGTTTTTGAGTCTGTAAAAGCGAGTCTCGCTCCTCCATTCACAACATCCATACCTCACGAGCGTCCAGAGATCCAGAGACTCACGTGCTCCTCACAACATGGTTCCTCATCACGTGACAGACAGACGAAGATCCAGCCAAGATTGACTATAAGTGCTGCACGAATCTGCTGCCAAAACTACACAAAGTCATTGTCTCATTGTCAAAGTATGTGCGACGCTTTGTAATATAATCAATCTGAAGCTGAATCAACTTTGTGTCTCTTTGCACTAATAAAATAAAGACTCGTCAAATTGAAACTGAAGCGCAGTTTTCCATCCGCTACACTAGGTAATTCACACACATCACCACAGGAGGGCGCAGCACTCATGTTTTTTAGACTCGATTTGCAACGGTGTAATTCACACAAATCACCACAGGAGGGCGAAACACTTTTACATTCATTGGACTTATATTGTTTTGTTGTTTTTATTTGCAAATATATCTATTTGAATTTTGAACAGAAGACAGGACGGAACATAGATAGTGTAAATAGTTCTGTTTGGAAGTTCTTATGTTTTTCTCCTCTCACCCTCTTACAGAAGTGTAGCGCATTTACACTAGCTCGTTAGACGGAGTTTACAAAAGTCTCCGCAGGTGGGTTAAGCTGAATAAAAAGACTGAATTTGTTAGGCCTAAAATCACCGCATGAGGGGGCAACACTTTTATGTTCATAAGACTTGACTTGCAATGGTGTAATTTACAGAAATCACCACTGAGGGTCTATACACTCTTTTATGTTTATTACACTTGATTTGCAATGGTGTAATTCACACAAATCACTGCAGGAGGGTGACACTCTTTCATGTTTATTACGCTTGATTTGAAACGGTGTAATTCACACAAATCACCACAGGAGGGCGACACTCTTTTAAGTTTATTACACTTGATTTGCAATGGTGTAATTCACACACATCACCACAGGAGGGCACAACACTCATGTTTTTTAGACTCGATTTGCAACGGTGTAATTCACACAAATCACCACAGGAGGGCGACACTCTTTTATGTTTATTACACTTGATTTGCAACGGTGTAATTCACACAAATCACCACAGGAGGGCGACACTCTTTTAAGTTTATTACACTTGATTTGCAACGGTGTAATTCACACACATCACCACAGGAGGGCGCAACACTCATGTTTTTTAGACTCGATTTGCAACGGTGTAATTCACACAAATCACCACAGGAGGGCGACACTCTTTTATGTTTATTACACTTGATTTGCAACGGTGTAATTCACACAAATCACCACAGGAGGGCGACCCCGTTTATTACACTTGATTTGCAATGGTGTAATTCACACAAATCACCACAGGAGGGAGAAATATTTCTAAGTTTATTTAGACTCTATTTGCAACGATGTAATTCACACAAATCACCCACAGGAGGGCGCAACACTTTAATGTTTATTAGACTTCGTTTGCGTCAGTGTAATTCACACAAATCACCACAGGAGGGCGACCCTCTTTTATGTTTATTACACTTGATTTGCAATGGTGTAATTCACACAAATCACCACAGGAGGGAGAAATATTTCTAAGTTTATTTAGACTCGATTTGCAACGATGTAATTCACACAAATCACCACCACAGGAGGGCACAACACTTTAATGTTTATTAGACTTCGTTTGCGTCAGTGTAATTCACAGAAATCATCACAGGAGGGCGAAACATTTTTAAGTTTATTTAGACTCGATTTGCAACGGTGTAATTCACACAAATCACCACAGGGGCGAAACACTTTTATGTTTATTTAGACTCGATTTGCAATTGGTTTAATTCACACAAATCACCACCACAGGAGGGCGAAACACTTTTACATTCATTGGACTTATATTGTTTTGGTGTTTTTATTTGCAAATATATCTATTTGAATTTTGAACAGAAGACAGGACGGAACATAGATAGTGTAAATAGTTCTGTTTGGAAGTTCGTTTTTCTCCTCTCACCCTCTTACAGAAGTGTAGCGCATTTACACTAGCTCGTTAGACGATGTAGTTCACGAAGATCTCGGCAGGTGGGTTAAGCCGATTTGCAGTAATGTCACCACAAGAAGGTGAAACACTTTTGTGTTTATTTAGACTCGAGTCGATTTGCAACGGTGTAATTCAGACAAATCACCATAGGAGGGCAAAATATTTTTAAGTTTATTTAGACTCTATTTGCAAAGGTGTAATTCACACAAATCACCACATGAAGACATTTTTATTTACCAAAAATTGACAGATAAGAGTGGAAGAGCCAGTGGCTTAGTGGTCTGAGCGTTAGATCTTGGCGTGGGCAATCCAGGTTCAAATCTCTCTTGCGGTGTTTAGTTTCATTGGTTTTTCAACAAATAAAAAAGACAAAATTACCAAAAATTGATGAGTAAGAGTGGAAGTGCTGGTGGCTTAGTGGTCTGAGCGGTAGATCTTGTTGTGGGCAATCCAGGTTCGAGTCTCTCTCTTGTGGTGTTTAGTTTCATTGGTTTTTCAACAAATAAAAAAGACAAAATTACCAAAAATTGGTGAGTAAGAGTGGAAGTGCTGGTGGCTCAGTGGTCTGAGTGTTTGATCTTGGTGTGGGCAACCCAGGTTCAAATCTCTCTCTTGTCGTGTTTAGCTTCAATGGTTTTTCAACAAATAAAAAAGACAAAATTACCAAAAATTCATAAGTAAGAGTGGAAGTACCAGTGGCTCAGTGGTCTGAGCATGTCCTCCTGGGGTCAGAAGGATCTGGGTTCAAACCCCAGCCTGGTATGTGAAGCATGGTTGCGTGAAGGACATCCAGTCGTGAGCTGTGACAAGCTGCAAAACTGAGCGGATCAGGTCATGACCAGGATGAGAGAAGGCAGGACACGAAGGGGGGAGTACATATCCAAACCGCTCCCCCTGGGACTTCCAAGACAATCTCGAGCAGCGGTTATGTAAAAGGAGTCCAAATTTTCAAAAAATTACTTGTAAAATTTTTCCCAAAAAAGCCTAAGTCAACATTTTGGGCGTGGCTTATGGACACTCCTCCCTTTTGGGCGTGGCTTATGGACACTCCTCCCTTTTGGGCGTGGCTTATGGACACTCCTCCCTTTTGGGCGTGGCTTATGGACACTCCCCCATCTGGGCGTGGCTTATGGCCACTCCCCTTTACTGTTGCTTGTACCTGCACTCCATCAAGGTTCAAATCTCAGCTGTTGCTTTCATGGGGAAACCAACCAGCACTTGAAAGGCATTCCCACTTACACACATGCTGAAAAATTCAGACTACAAATACATTAATAAACTGGATTTGTAATGAGGAAATCTTAACTGGTCTGTTTTATCTTGGCAATCATTAAATTGCAAATCAGTCACAGCTTGTCCAAATTAATAGACAAACTAAACCACGTGGGCCACACATCATCTGAATAATTAGTTAATTGACTGATCAACAGAGTCAGTAACAGGAGGTGTTGATGTTTAGAAAGCCAAGATCAGCTGGAAATCATGAACAGCACACAAATGTCACATTTACCATTTTATTGGACACAAACTTAAGTAGATCATTGTCAAAAACATGCCAGTTCAAAACAGAAACAGGTTGAGTCAGGAAAAGGCTCAGATGCATAACAGTTCGGCGGTTGCTCCTCTCAAAATACTCCATGCAAAGTCACTCACTGCTTTTCCTCATGACCTCCAGCAGCTCAAACCAAGAGATCCCTACAAACAGACAGCAGTGAGACAATCAGAAACACTTCAAATTTCACTAATAACTTCCCCTAGGAAGCTACAAATCTCAGAAAGAAACAAAGTGATTGTTTATAGAATAAATATAGATCATAGGAGGTGAAAACGCATGCTCATTTTATGAGCAATTAAACCAATGCAACAGCATCTGTAAGATATCAATCAAGCTACAAAATAGAATTAAATGTCACTTTGATGTCAATCCAAAACAACAAGTTAACATACAGACTCCTTCTACGAGCTATACAAGTATTTTACAAGTATTTTGCAAGTATTTTACAAGTATTTTACAAGTATTTTACAAGTATTTTACAAGTATTTCACAAGTATTTCACAAACCTGTTCCAAGAGCCACACCAACATTGCACACCCTCGACGTCTTTCTTATCTGACCCATATATGTCTGGTTTTGGAGTCTCTACTAACGAGCTGATGAGTCGATTCAGGTGTGATTGATTAGGAAGAGTTGGAAAATGTGTTGTGTTTAACCACCGCACCATCGTGGCTTTCACAATATCATCTGTTGTTTGGTGCAGTTTGTTGGATATGCATTTTAACATAGGCAATCTAAGATTCAAACGCAACCATTTATTTATTGAACTCTTTTGAGTTTATTGAGGGCTTTGTTTTCTGTGATAAAAATATTAGCAACTGTGGGATTTGGACCAAGAACTGAATGAAAGACAAATGATTAGCCACTGAGCCACGGCATTTGTGATGTTTGATATGGTTCATTGTGGTTGTTTTTTTAGTTTAGCAACAGCATTCATTAAAACAATTTATTGTTCAGCTGCTAGAGCGTTTTTTTTACAGGGTTGGAGATAAACTCAGGAAAGTGGCTCGTCAGGAGCAGGATTAGGGACTTTTTTTAAATCTCTTTCCTCTTCATGCTGTTTTCATATATTAATGCAGATACACTTAGTGTCCACAAGGTGGGGTACATGAACACATTAATCTGGTCTCTGGTTTCATGCACACATGCCTGCTCTCCATCCAGGATTCTCCAAACACTTGTCCTATGTAGAGAAGCTGGAGTCTGTCTGAAGGCAGAGAAACACAGGACACTGTGTCTGTTATATTAGGCAGTAAAAAGCGTCAGGTGGGGAACTTGGATACTTGAATGACAAAAAAAGGTATTTTACCACCCTTCGGGTGCTTTAGAATAACTCTTCCTTACAATATGATAGAGACATAATTCTTTTTTCCAGTGTTTGCTGACATGTGCTGGAATCAACCAAAACTGTCTGCATGGTGCTAGAGCACACAGGGCCTGAGATCTACACTTTCAAAAATGAATTTATAACCTAAAAATCAAAAAGCGTCTTTTTTTGTTTTTGTTTATTATAACACAGACAACATACACTAAAATATTTACCACTTTCAACAGTGTTTTATGAAATGACAAAGGGTTTTCTGTAATATGACACTGGAATTTTGCATTTATAGCATTGCATATGGGTATGGGGGGACTTTAGATCTGGGTAGGCGGAAATTACAACAAAAAAAGGTAATATTCCTCCCTTCAGATACATTTGAATAAATATTAAATAAAACATGATACAGACAAAATTCAGTGGTGCAGTGGCTCAACACACGTTCTCGGCTGATGGGTTGCACTGGAGACGTGGGTTCGATCCCCACCTCAGCATGATTTATTGTAAAATCGCAGGACTCGAAGAGTGAAATATAAGTTCCAGCACATGTATCAGCAAGAGATCTGTGGCTCACAGGTAAGAGCGCTGCCTCACGGGTTCAGAGGTTGCTGGTTCGATCCCAGCCAGATCTCCGCGATACGAGTGAATGCTGTATGTGTGAAGGGGCGGGGATGATTCGGGTCCCCCCCGAGCCCCGCCACAATGGACAGCAGGGGTTATGCTTTTTTATACATTAAAAATTTAGCTGTCTAAAAATTTTGCCCCACCGTCCCTTCCCCACCTATTTAGGTTCCCATCATTTGCTTTTTAAAGGGGTCACCCTCCAAAAAGAAAATGATGGGAACCTACATGTTTAGCACAGTAAAACATAAGCATGTACATACCTGTCCATCAGCAGAAGTCCATCATTACAGTCAATGTCTGTCCACACGTCCCACAGCTCTGCTTCTGATGACTGGATGTAATGGTCCAAACACATTCCTTCTGTAAGGAAAGACAAGAAAAAAAAAGATTAGTTTTAGAAATACTCAATATTCTACATCTATAAATGACAATGTGAAAGTTAGTCTAAAGACTAGTTAATAAAAGGAAATGGAATAAATTAAAAGCCTAAAGTTGTACAGTGTGAAAATATATTACTATTATAATAATATAGTACAGTTCAGTAAGGCTGTATCAATAATAATCTATGATTTGAATTACAGTTTTACAGGCTACAAATGGACACAAACACTGAATAGAAATAAAGCCTTCGGTGCGAGCGCTGACGCTTGATGCTTAAACATGTACACTGTAAAGAACTGCCCAAGTGGAGTTATAACTTTAAGATGAAACCTTCCTTCACACAACAGTAACCCTAAAAGACATGTTCCTGCACAAGGATTGATCCTGATAGTTTTCATTAGAAGAAAGGCACTGCATCTCTACGATACAATACAAGCAGCAGACACACACTTCACACACTCACACACACATCAACTGATTCTATTAACACGCATCAATCCACTAGATTATTATTACATAAAGTAAGACAAGTAATAACAAAAGAGACTAGAAACAATTGCTTATTATTCTACTTCACTACACATAAATCAGAGGACGATTCATTTGAATCTTATACATGTAACAACAACTAGAGATTCAACTTAATCACTGTCTTACAGGCCACACACAATTATAAAAACACTGAACACACAGAACTAAAAACTAACTCCCCATTCACAGAAAGCCAAACCTACAAAACATCAGAACAATATTAGAAATGCTATGCAAAGAAAACCAATTGCAAAGTGTCTAGTCACTGCTCTTTACTTTTATTGTTTGATGCTTGTAGTAATATTATGACATTTGAATTGAATACCATTTTAAACTCTCAGATCCCAGTCATAACAGGAAGTAGAATAAAAGCAGGAAGCAACAGGAGAACATCAGAGCTTCACACAAGACACAACTCCTGCTGACTCTCACATACACCCAGAAAACACTGCAATATCAACTGAGTCCTTCTTATTACACTTTACAGTGTGAATATCAGAGGGCGATTCATTCAAAGATTAAAAAGGTAACGCTACAATAGCGACTGACAAGAGAACTTACTTGACTTCATGCTAAAGTAAAAGTTACTTACAGGTGAGTCTTGTGTCGCACTCGGTTCCTCATTTATGTGTCGTTTGATTGCGTCTGAGTGTCGGTTTTATTTGCGGTTGAGCTGTAATATGTCCTGTTAAAGTGACATTAAGAGCTGTCATCTTCTCATCTGCAGGATCTGCTCGTGTTGTTGTGATTGTCATCAAGTGTCATGTTGTCAAGCAGCAGAAGCGTCAGACTGAAGGAGAATCCGCTTCTGCCGCCTTGAGGAGCGGAGGAAAACTGCACTTTACTCTCGTCGGGTTACAGTGGCGAGATCACATCTGAGACTTTGTATTAAAGTTCCTGTAAAATTGCAGCAGCAACATGTTTGACAAGCTCTGTGGTGCAGAAAATAATGATTTGCTTTAGAATGAGAAAGCCTAGTTTTTTTTGTATGTGTGTGTGTGTGTGTGTGTGTGTAACGTTATGTATGTATGTATTTTAACAGAAGGACAGAACAGAGAGGACAGAAGAAATTTGCAGCGGTGTAATTTACACAAATCACCACAGGAGGGCGAAACACTTATGTTTATTTGACTCGATTTGCAACGGTGTGATTCACACAAATCACCACTTTTCTTTTACTCTCTATATGTAATTCACACAAATCACCACAGGAGGGCACAGTTTTTTAGACTTTATTTGCAACGGTGTGATTCATACAAATCACCACAGGAGGGCGACACTTTTATGTTTTTTAGACTTTATTTGCAACGGTGTAATTCACACAAATCACCACAGGAGGGCGACACTTTTATGTTTTTTAGACTTTATTTGCAACGGTGTGATTCATACAAATCACCACAGGAGGGCGACACTTTTATGTTTTTTAGACTTTATTTGCAACGGTGTAATTCACACAAATCACCACAGGAGGGCTAAAATAATTTTAGATCTGACTTTTTTTGCATTTATATAGACAGACGATATAACACACACACACACACTGATACAGTTAAGAATAACTTAAAAATAAAAACTTTTTTTATAAGAATAGATCTGAGTAGTCAATGAATTATTAATCAATGACGATAATCTTTTACATACGCTAAGAACTTTAAACTTGAAATCTAAAACAACATAATTGACTCACAGGCTCAGCGTATAGTTGTCAACCTTACCAACCAGAAAGTCCTGTTTCAGATCCATGTTTGTTAAAGTTATTCATCATTTAACACAAAACTCTGGATCAAACCGGTTAAAAATGCTCTTCATCTCAGCAGTCTCAGTGGCTCAGGAGAGAAAGAGTTGTGTTTCGATCACAGCGTCCTGAGTTCAAGTCCCACTATTGCTGACTTTCAATAGTTCTCATTAGACAAGGAGCCCAAAAAACCAGCTGTCAACGTGAAATCCATGATGGGCGAGCGGATAAACACACACTCTCTGAGGACAAGACTGACGAAGACACAGGTTTGAATCTCACTTTAACTGCTTTATTGGAAACTCTCAGGATAACAGTGAAATATAAGTTCCAGCACATCATCAGCAAGAGATCTGTGGCTCACAGGTAAGAGCGCTGCCTCACGGGTTCAGAGGTTGCTGGTTTGATCTCAGCCGGGTCTCTGCAATATGAGTGTGTGAATATATACGCACAAAGGCTTTCCTTTAGTAAATGAGATATGAGCGTAAAATTGATGTGATTATATAAAAACAAAGTGGCCAAAACACCAGATCTCAGTGTGAAAGCCACAGTGGTGCAGTGGCTTAACACACGTTCTCGTCTGATGGGTTGGACTGGAGAGATGGGTTCGATCCCCACCTCAGCATGATTTATTGTAAAATCACAGGACTCCAAGAGTGAAATATAAGTTCCAGCACATGTATCAGCAAGAGATCTGTGGCTCACAGGTAAGAGCGCTGCCTCACAGGTTCAGAGGTTGCTGGTTCGATCCCAGCCAGATCTCCGCGATACGAGTGAATGCTGTATGTGTGAAGGGGCGGGGATGATTCGGGTCCCCCCCCCCGAGCCCCGCCACAATGTACAGCAGGGGTTATGCTTTTTTATACAATGAAAATTAGCTGTCTAAAAATTTTGCCCCGCCGTCCCTTCCCCACCTATTTAGGTTCCCATCATTTGCTTTTTAAAGGGGTCACCCTCCAAAAAGAAAATGATGGGAACCTACATGTTTAGCACAGTAAAACATAAGCATGTACATACCTGTCCATCAGCAGAAGTCCATCATTACAGTCAATGTCTGTCCACACGTCCCACAGCTCTGCTTCTGATGACTGGATGTAATGGTCCAAACACATTCCTTCTGTAAGGAAAGACATGAAAAAAAAAAAAGATTAGTTTTAGAAACATCTATAAATGAGAATGTGAAAGTTAGTCTAAAGACTAGTCAATAGAAGGAAATGGAAGAATTAAAAGTCTAAAGTTGTACAGTGTGAAAATATATAACTATTATATTAATATAGTATAGTTCAGTAAGGCTGTATCAATAATAATCTTTTAATTCAATTCAAATTAAAGTGTACTTTCCTTCAAATAAACACGAATAATTGAAAACAAAAATTGTATTGCTTAATGTTATTTTTAAGTATTTTTTCTTTATTAATATTCTTCATAATAATTTTTATATTATATTTTGAGAAAGCAGATTGTGTTTGTATACGTTTGCTGAGGAGAGATTTGGGATGAGCTATATTTAGTTTGCATAGAAGTATTGTGTGCAATGACACATCAATGTAACACAAAAATAAACAAGAAATCTCTTGACAAAATAACTGGTGTAGCTTCCGTGATTCAACCATAATTGGGACTAGTTTAAGTTTTAAATTTACAATAATCCTAAAAGGTTGGTTTCCAGCACACGGTTTTAACCCTGTTCTGTTCTGTTCTGGACTGTATGTATGATGGTTTTCATTAGAAGTAAAATCACTTGAGCTCTACACAAGCATGAAGCAGCAGAAACATCAGAGCAACTGACTCTATTAACAAACATTAATCCAGTATATTACCTACAGTAAGACTACAATAACAACACACATAAAAACAGCATTCCTTATCATTCTGATTATAAATGTAAAGCAACACCCGATTAATTTTCCCTTCTAAAGGTCTGAGAGTGTGTTGAGAAAAAAATACGAGTTATTTCTCTTTTTATAGAAGACGCGAATGCTTTCATAACAAGCTTAAACAACATTTAGTTTACAGACACCATGAACATTACACTGACGAGCCCTGCTATGATGACATTTCAGCAGAACGATGCATCAGTGAAAAATACAATTATACAAAACATAAAGCGTCGCGATATCATTTTACAAAAGAAATTCACTTTATGTCCAAAGTTACTTACCGAGAAGTTAAATGACACTCAATTCCCGCATGTTATCGGACTGTATGTCGGTTTATTTGCTGAAATATGTCCAGTTGTGTGTCTGTCATGTGCACATGTTGTAGCGTCTGTCATCAACAAGCGTCAGTGTTGCCAAGGACCCGAAGGAGTCGCTCTGACAGTGAGGCCCGCTCACGCCGCCTAGTGGAGCGGATGAAAACTGCGCTTCGGTTTCTGTCATTCTGCTAAATAAATACAGTGTTCCGCCCTCCTGTGGTGATTTGTGTGAATTAGACCGTTGCAAATCGAGTCTAATAAATATAAAAGTGTTGCGCCCTCCTGTGGTGATTTGTGTGAATTACACTATTGCAAATCGAGTCTGTTGCGCCCTCCTGTGGTGATTTGTGTGAATTACACCGTTGCAAATCAAGACTTGTTATCAAGATCTGTGGCTTTATTGTGTTAAATTTAGCACAAAATGTTTACATTAAGAAGCATAACACCTGCTGGCCATGGTGGCGGGGTTCAGGTGGTTATCCGAAGCGTCCCCGGCCGTCCTCTTCACACACACAGCATTCACTCGTATCGCGGAGATCTGACTGGTTGGGATCGACACAGCAACCTCTGAACCCGTGAGGCAGCGCTCTTACCGGTGAGCCACAGATCCCTTGCTGAGACGTGTGCTGGAACTTGTATTTGACTAGTGACCTGATTGCCCAATAAAGCAGTTAAAACTTTGACAGAGTCTCTGTTGTTTGATTTTCAACACGCTGAGCTGTGGTTTGAACCCACATCTCTATCCCAGCTTCACCACCAGAGAACGTGCGTTTAACCAGTAGATCCACCGTGGCTTTCATATTAAAAACTGATGTTTGGGACTCTTTGCTGGATTTATGGGCAACAATTTAACAAAAACATTGGTGGGATTTGAACTCAGGACTTTGCATATAGCAGTTGATCATCTGACCCACAGAACCTGAAGAGATTGTGGAAGGATTTTCTTAGATTAGTTTTATCACTTGTTTCTAATCTGTATTACAGTCTTTTACTTGCTTGAGAATATTAATCACGAAGTAAGTTCTTGCACATTATCTGTGTTCTTTTGAACTTCATTGTTTCTGCTGTGAGTAATTTTTAGCGGATTTAAAATCTGCAATGTTTCTTCTCAGGACAGGACCTGGATTGTTTGAGTCACATGTACAACAAATTATTAAAAATTAGTCAGTTACATTATTGAAATAATACAAATATTACATTTTAATAATAAGGTCAACGAGGTCAAATCCTCATTGCGAGAATAATGTATGACCAGTAAAAAGTAGGGGACTCAAGGATTTGTTCAAAGATTATAGGCTGTGTCAAATAAAACAAAATTCACCTCAATTTTATCATTTTGTTAATATATATATTTTTTCTGAAGACAGAAAAACATAAATAGTGACGAAACCCAAAATATTAAATGGAATAGATTTAATAATCCACTATTTTGTAACTTAAAGGGTCGAAATGGCCTGAGATTTGGAGCCAAACTACAGGGAGTAAAAAAAAAAAACTTTAGAAAGATGGAAGCAAAATTATTTTATTTTTACACAGAGGTCTATTAGTGAAATCTGTTGACGTAGCAATCTTTATTGAATCATATTGTGACAGTTCCAAATTGGCAACAACAACAAAAAAGAAACACCTTTCCCAAGATATCAATGAGCAAAATTGGTTAATCGTACACATTTTCAGTGGTCAAAACAAATATGGGTCACTTTACAAGCAGTTAATACTTTTAAAGCATATTGAGAAACTGACACTCGAAGGATAAGTTACATCCAACCATCTCTAATGCATCTATCCTGCTTTTAAAGCGATCAGATGAAGGTTTCTCTTTTCTAATGTATTAATATATAATTTTGGAAAAAAATAAATAAATAAAAATAAAAAAAAAGATGAAGGTTTCTCTCATCTCAGGAGACAGGAGGCGAATATAACATTGGATTAGGACGTGCCTTAAAGCTTTCCTACCCTGGAATGCATCCTCTGAAGGCAGCATATATCGGCATTTATCATAGACATATACATATGTCTATGTGTATATATGTCTATTGGGCATTTATAAGCTTTCGGATGCAGCCACGAAGAAAGATATGAGCGAGCACGGACGTCACACTCAGGCGACGGAAGTTGCGTCATTGAATCGCAGCAGAGGAAGAAATGGCTGGTTTGATCAAAAAGGTACGTGGGGAGGTCATGAAAATATATTAATAATAACTAGTGAAATGTATTCGTAAACGAAGCTCGTGTCTATACTAAAGCGTTTAAATATTTCTGCACGTTTGTCTTTAGTCTTTAAATGCATCAGTCGTGTTTTGTTTTGAAGGCTTGTGATGGCCAATGAATTATTATGTATACAGTAAATACACATAGTTGTGCAGCTCTACATGTCATGCATGGGAAATTAAGTTGTGTATTTGACATTTCAGAGTGAGATTTATACGAATATGCATATGTGTAGTTATTTCTTAATATCTTATTTTTTGTCTTATTTTCAGACCACAGGCTTGGTTGGCCTTGCAGTCTCCCACAATCCACATGAAGTAAACGTCTTTCTTGATTTCGTTTTATTATTCATCGCCATTCTGTACAACAGTATTTTCTTTCATATACAAATAAAGTATTTTGTTTGTCATTGTGTGTTTTGAGTTCGAGGAATTTTACTTATTTGTCTAATGCAATCTATTGAAGAGTTGTTCTCTTTCCTAAAGCGTCTTCGGATTCTGTACACTAAGATCCTGGGCTCTCTTCAGACTATGCCTCAGGACGCTGCTTACAGGAAATACACTGAGCAACTGATCAACGAGAGGTTCAATCACGTCAAAGCCGTAAGACATTTCAAATGTACTTCCTCTGCAGTAAAAGACTGAGATTTAGATTGGCTTTAACTGTTGAATAAGTGAGCAAGAGATTGTGTTGATTTGTACATGTCATTTTTGTTCTATAAAGGAGCCAGATGTGGAAAAGCTTGAAAAGAAAATCAATGGTGGACAGATTGAGGAGGTTATTGCACAGGTGAGAAGATCCCAAAGCCTTTGGGTCATTAACTGAGTTTATAGAAAATGAATGCTCTGAAGCAACATTGGAACTATTTGTTGTACCTCAGCGGTTATTGTGTCCGTCCCGTGTCTCCGCAGGCTGAGGCTGAACTGACACTGTCCAGGAAGATGACGGAATGGAAACCATGGGAACCACTCGTAGAGGAAGCACCGACCAGCCAGTGGAAATGGCCCATCTGAAGTCCTCATGATGTTTATGTACATGTATATACTATATTATATTAAATAATAAATAAACACTGTCTGTTTAAGTTGGCCGTTTGTTTTACTGTTGTTATAGATTGGAAGTTCATTTTTATTCTAATACATTTAATTAATTTCAACACAAAAGTTATACAGAGGTGGACAAAGTACACAACTTCCTTACTTGAGTGAAAGTACATATACTATAGGGCAAATATTACTCTAAAAGTTGTAAAGATTTTTTTGATTTTTACTCAAGTAAAAGTACTCGTTTTTTTCAAAGTACTTAAGTATTAAAAGTAAATGTCAATGCATTGTTTTATAGTTGTTGTATGTAATACTTACAGTACCTTATGCCCTTTGAAGCAACCAATTGAATACACCTACCAGTTTGTAGTATCTGTGGAATTAAATGATTTTAGAATGTTATAAAACCTATAGAAATTAAAGAACTGAATTGACTCCCCACTCTACCACCCCAACAAAAGTACACATCCATGTAGTGGAGTAAAAAGTAAGATATGTCATTCAAATGTAGTAAAGTTTCCACACAAAAAAATAATACTCAAGTAAAGTACAGATACTCAAAAAGTGTACTTGAGTACAGTACTCAAGTATATGTACTTTTTTACTCCACCACTGAATTTATATAAAAAAATTTAATATTATAGAAAAGATTATATCAGAAATATGAGAAATCTATTGAAGAATCGGTCATTTTAAAATCTGTCTTTCAAATTGGTGACTCGAACAGGCAATGAGAGATGATACTTACCTCAATGAGGGACCATTCAACTTAGAAAAAATCTATAGATTCTTAAATGAAATTAAATTTGTAGCCTTTTGCCTACGTTGTGCAGCAGCACTTGGAATGAACTCAAGGTCCAATAAAAGCTGAAAATGAATGTCAGAAGTCAATAAATAAATGCAAATCTGAATAAAAAAAATGAGTCATATAAAGAGGGAAAAGGGTTTTCTAAACAACAATACCATAATAAATATACACTATTTAAAAAAAATATTTATATATATATATATATATATATATATATATATATATATATATATATATATATTATAATTCACATTACTATTAGTCTAGTAATATTGGACTTGCAATATCTTGCAAAAGTGCACTTTTGCACTTACCAAAAGTATTTAATGTCAACTACCCCCCTACATTTTGTGGTTAAGCAGTCTGGATGCTCACTGGAAAAATGAAGAAATGCCTTTGAGAATGTAGAAGAAATTGTTTTGTTTATTTTTATTGTGCTTTCTTTATTTTATCCAAGTGCGTCTTGTGTTAGTTTTTGACCAAACCCCTAAAAGACAGTTGAAATAAAGGTTGATAAATATGGAGATAAATAACAGAATGGTGAGATTCGCTGCTGATTAAGATCTAAAAGGATGTGTTAACAGAAATGAGCAAGTGTATGAAAAAGTCTGTTACAACACAAATCAACTAGTTCATTTGAAAAATCATTCAATTTCTATCATAAAAACAAATGAATCCTTCAGTTGCTACAATAACAAAAGCAAACGTAGTAAAAAAGAAACTAGTCATATAAATGTATTTTGGTCTGTCGGTGTGACCGATGTTTTATATATTAGAATCACACGTCTCTCTTCTGTTCTAGGAGGCTACATTCAAGAACGCTTTTTTTCTATCTAAAGATTTTTTTTTACCCCCAAAATAGATACCGTATGAAATCTTTTGCCCTGCTACTTATAAAATATTCGTCAACAGTTATGTCCAACTAAACCTAACACACCAACAGCAATACAGAAGTCACTGTTTTTCCAAAGAGTAGAAAATTTTGGCATTAGTTACAACAATAATATTATATCAAAGTACAAAGGTAACAAAAAGGCACAATAAAGACCAAATTACAGTATATCCTGTACCCATATAGTCCGTGTAGAGACTTTGGGAGGGTTTCAAGCAAAACTACTTTCTCATGATTCAATGTACAATTCCTTGTGTGAAGGACCTGTATCGCTACATGAGAGACTCCAGGCTCTCCGATGGGTTGGCGGGGACCGTGCCGTTGTTTTCCGAGTAGTGAAGAGCTCTCTCATCCTCCTTAGTGCTCACCAAACTCAGGATCGCTTTATAGAGGAACTGATACTGTTCCTGCACACACAGGAAGATGTCAAGCATGCACATTTTATCATTCATTTCTAATCAAAGTATAAATTGCAAAAATGATTTTGTCACTTAGCTTGGCTTGTTAACCCAATCACACTAAATGCGTCTCTATAGCACGCAGTGTGTTTATCGTGCAATATATATACACGAAAATGAGCTTTTACGTGCATAGGATTGGTTGGTTGGTTAGGGTAGGTTTAGTAGTGGTGTGGGGTGCGTGTGCAAATGAACTGCGTATCAAATGCACGCAAAAATTGCGTATCATATCCACGTAAAAAAAAAACTTTTCATATATAAATTGCTCACAACTCTGACTTATCTCTTGCAATTCTGGGTTTATATCTCACAAATAAATTTTCCTCGCAATTCTGGGTTATATCTCACAATTCTAACTTAATTTCTCACAATTCTGACTTTCTTTCTCACAATTCTTACGTTTTTCCTTGTAATTCCAAGATTATATTTCACAATTCTAACTTTTTCCCCCCTCAGAATTCTGATGTAAACTATTTGTAATATAAAATATTTAAAAATATTATAAAATATTTGCCAATGGGCTCAGAAAAAAATACATCTTTCATAGGGAAAACAAGATTATTCTACTACCCTCATTGTCAGATATTTTTTTCTTGTTTTATGCAATAACTCACTTTTGATCAATTTTTCAGGAAAAAAAGGTTCCATTTTGCTTGTCAAGTAAATGTATCCTGATTTAAGAATGTGTAGATAGATACTGTATGTGTGCTTGCAAACAAAACAGGAAAATCATTTTACTAATATTACAGTCCTCTTACAATATCATCGAAGACCCCCGGCCTCATGAGGTTCATCATCCTGGCGGTCAGATAGACGTCCACACTGTTCTCCTCCTCCAGCTGGTTTGACCAAGGGTGGTCAGGGCACAAAACAAACCAGCACTCGACCCTCCAGACCTGCACAGCAGGTCGCACCCGTGAGAAATGACATACCCCTGACTGATATAGCCTCTGCATTTTTGTAAATAAAATGAAACTCTACCCATCATGGATGATGATGGGTCCCTCTCGCCGTGAGCTTTCTTCTCTGATGATGTTGATGAGCTCAAAGGAGTTGCTGATGGGACTGTCGGGGTTTGGCCAGCGGGGCGTCTGGTACTGACGCACCTCCAGCACGTAATCGTCCTGTCACAGACAGCCCACACAAAACAGTTCTGTTAATCCATAGTCTTAAATGCAACTTTCTTGGAATTACTGAAATATTAAATGTTTTTGTTTGAGTTGAATAATCTCACAAATACATCGAAATCAACAGAAAGATAATACATTTTGCATAAAGCCTTTTTTAGTTCCACTAAGACATTTATTTTACATTATAATATTCCTGTTTACTGTAATGAAATATGTAATTTTAAATTAATTATATACAATATTTTCATTTATCATTACTTCACTGTGTCGAGATTTTCTAAACCTGAGTTTCTCCTTACATTTCACACCATGACTCTCATTAGATTCTCTTTACATTACTATATAAAAAACTTTTTATTTAAAATTGTATTTAAAAGGCAGTACAACAAATAAAACCATTTATTTATTTATTTTACATTTCGGTAATGATAATTGGACTGTACAATGAGTTTAATTGTCATGAAAAA